TGGATAGGGTGCAGGGATGTAAATACTATAGCAAGATAGACTTAAAGTCTGGCTATCGTCAGATTGCTATAAGACCTGAGGATCAGCACAAGACTGCTTTTCAACCCTGATACGGTCTGTATGAGTTTGTAGTGATGCCCTTTGGCCTTTGTAATGCGCCGGGTACATTCCAGCACGCTATGAATAGGATCTTCCATGACTACTTAGATAAGTTTGTCGCCGTGTACCTTGACGATATTTTTATTTTTAGTAAGTCTGTCGAGGAGCATGCACAGCATGTTGAGACTGTACTTTCACTCTTGTGACAGCACAAGTATAAGGTCAACCTAGAAAAATGTGAGTTTGGACGCACTAGGATCTTGTACTTGGGTCATGAAGTATCTGCGGAAGGGATTAGGCCGGAAGATGCGAAGGTGGCTAGTATAAGGGACTGGCCATGACCTCAGACTGTTACTGAGGTCGGATCTTTCTTAGGAATGTGCGGCTACTATAGGAACTTCGTGAAGAACTATTCCACAGTCGCCTCTCCTTCGACGGATCTAACTCGACTTGACACACCGTGGGTCTGGAGTGATGAGTGTGAGGCTGCTTTCAAACGATTGAAGCATGCACTCATGAATCATGAGGTTCTCATGGTGCCCGATCCTCAGAAGCCGTTCATAGTGACCACTAACGCAAGCCAATACGGCATTGGCGCAGTGCTGGCTCAGCAGGATGGGAAGAAGTTGAGACCGATTGAGTATATGAGCAAAAAGATGCCATCAAAGAAACTGGCAAAGTCCACCTATGAAAGGGAACTCTATGCTCTCTACAAAGCACTTGTCCATTGGAGGCACTTCTTGTTGGGACGATTTTTCTATTTGAGAACTGACCATCAGACCCTTAAATGGATCAAGACTCAATTGACTCTTTCTGATGCACTCAAGCGCTGGATTGAGGTCATAGATCAGTATGACTTCAAGCTAGAGTATCTGAAGGGAGAGTACAACAAGGTTGCAGATGCGCTGTCACGTAGAGCAGACTACCTAGGGGCACTAGTTTCTGAGTTTGGTGTATCTGAGGAACTAACTCAATCGCTGGTGGGAGCCTATCAGGAAGACCCTGTCACGATGGACATCATACGCAAACTTCAGGCGAAAGATAAGGCCACAGAGGATGAGTTTGTGATGGTGGACAGGCTACTCTTTCTTGATAAGGCCGGGTTTAAGAGATTAGTGATTCCATCTAGTGAACGTTTGCGTAGTTTGTTCTTAGGAGAATGTCATGACGCAACTGGACACTTTGGCTACAAAAAGACGAGTGCCAATCTAGTACAACGATTTTGGTGGCCCGGAATGCTAGAAGATGCAAAAAAGTATGTGGAGACCTGTGAGGTCTGTCAGCGGGACAAGCCGCGAACTCAAGCACCACTTGGGTTGTTGAAGCCCTTACCTATCCCCGCTGGTCCGGGACAGAGTGTTTCAATGGACTTCATGGACACCCTGGTGACCAGTAGGAGTGGCAAGAGGCACATCTTTGTCATCATAGACCGATTCACCAAGTACGCTAGACTAACTGCCATGCCAGAGACCGCAAGAACTGAACACGTCATCAAGTTGTTTATGGACAACTGGGTGCGTGATTTTGGATTACCAAAGTCAATCGTTAGTGACAGAGATGTCCGCTTCACAAGTGAGCTGTGGAAGAAGACTGTTGAACAGATGGGCAGTCAACTTCAGATGACTTCATGGAATCATCCCGAAGCCAACGGACAGGCCGAGTGTACAACACCTATCGAGGCATTACATCAAGCCCAGCCAGGATGACTGGGATGAGAAGTTGCCTCTCATCACCAGCCTGTACAACAACGCTGTACACAGCAGTACCGGCGTTAGTCCTAATCAGCTGCACTTGGGATGGAAGCCTAGATCAGCTCTGGACTTCCTCCTACCTGAAAACCGACCCTCTGCAACTCCGGGCACACTTGAGTATGGTGTGCAGTATGAGAAGTTGCTACAGCAAGCTGTCGAGCACATCAGGAAAGCTCAGCAAGCAATGATTGCTTCTGAGAACAAACATCGTCGACAGTCCTCATTTCAGGTAGGGGAACGTGGCTGGGTCAAGGCTAGTGAGCTAGGACAAGAATTCGGTATCTCTCGAAAACTAATGCCTCAGTATTTTGGTCCCTGGGAAGTCCTGGACATAATTGGGGATGAGATGGATGGTCCTACCTATGTTATCCGTATCCCTGGTCACTTGCGCACTCACCCTGTCTTTCATGCCTCAAAGCTTGCACCTTTCGCCGAGACAGATCAATTCCCTTCAAGGAGATCGATGCTGCCCCCAACCATGGATGGTCAAGTGGACATCGACGACATTGTGGATCACAAAGACATGCCTGTTCCGAAGCCACTGGGTAGAGGAAGACCTCCCAAACCCAAGAGAGAATATCGCGTCAGATTCAGGCATCATACGGATCCAAAAGAAGATCGGTGGTTCACCAGAGAGGAACTGATTGACA